CCTGGTTCAGTCCACTCTCTCAGAGGGGCAGCAGGCCTGGGAGACCAGTGTGAGCAGAGACAGGAGTGCTGCCATCTCTTGCACTCACAGAGGTGACTCCAGGAGGAATGACGGCCGATTCCGCTCGGGGATCTGCATTCTGAGAAATCATGAGATCCACATTTAATGAGGTCTGGGACGTGACAGAGCGTGGACCATGGACAGGGAGGGCGCACCCTGTTTGCCATTGACAGATTGTGCAACCGTGACTGGCAGGGTTTTATTGAAGCCAGTGGTTCCCGGTGGTTTGTCAAAGTGCTGTGCCCTCCTCGATGAGGCCAAGCTTAGGTGGTAAAGGCGTGACCATCTCACCGCTTTGAAGTTCTGCCGAAAAGCTTCCAGGGCCCTGGGCTATGGCTTAGCTTGGAGGTGGGAGAAGAAATCACCTGCCATGGCCCAGGGGAGGCTGCAGCTGTGTTTTCAACGTCTTCTGCTTCCTGGGCACTGCTGGCTCACCCACCTCTGGCCCTACCAAGCCCTGAGCATCCTCCCAGCAGAATTTGTTGAAAGAGGAGGATTAGGGTTCTTTGCTTTTTTATTTTTTTAGTTGGCTCCTTAAGTCATTGTCGCTGAAGGGCTTTGTCTTCTTGTTTAGAAAAGAAGGAAGGAAGGAAGAAGGAGAGGAGGAAGGAAGGAGGGGGGAGGGAGGAGGGAGGGAGGGAGGGAGGGAAGAAGGGAGGGAGGGGGGAGGAAAAGAAGGAGAGGGAGGAAGGAAGGAGGGGGGAGGGAGAGAGGGAGGGAGGGGGGAAGGAGGAGGGAGTGAGGGAGGGAGGGAAGAAGGGAGGGAGGGGGGAGGAAAAGAAGGAGAGGGAGGAAAGAAGGGGGGGAGGGAGAGAGGGAGGGAGGGAGGGGGGAAGGAGGAGGGAGTGAGGGAGGGAGGGAAGAACCGAGGGATGGGGGAGGAAAGGAAGGAGAGGGAGGAAGGAAGGAAGGGAAGGAGGAAGAGAGAGAAAGAGAAGAGAAAGGGAGGAAGGAAGGAAACAAGGAAACAAACCAGGGTGGCCATTTAGCCAAGCAGTCAGGACACGCACCGTATCAGAGTACGGGGTTCCATTCCCAGCTCTGGCTTCCAACTCTAGCTCCTGCTAATTTAGCAGACGCTGGGACGCAGCAGGAAATGGCTCGAGTGCTTGAGTTTCTGCCACACTTGGGAGACCTGGATTGTGTTCTCAGCTTCTGGCTTTGGCCCCAGCCTAGCCCCAACCATCGTGGGCATGTGGGGAGTGAGGGGAGTGAGCCAGGGAGTAGACATGGTCTCTGACTCTCTCTCTCTCTCTCTCTCTCTCTCTCTCTCTCTCTCTCTCTCTCTCTCGACACTCCAGTGAAAAACACACACACAACCTTATTTTCATGACTTAACCTTGTTCAGCTTCATTGACAGTAACTTGGATGGGGGCCTTCCAGTTGCCCTCCCACACTCTGCTCACCCAAACCCGGGCTCGGCCGTGGCCGTGGGGTGCCACGTGGTTTCTGCCTGCAGCTGACAGCACGGCCAAGGGAAGCGAGGCTCCCAGCCGGCAGCACGCCTATGTCAGGAGTGAGCGTGCTTGAGCCAGAGGCATCTTTAAGTAAACAAAATCCTGCAACTGCGTTGACCCATGGATGAATTTCACTCCCTCTTTGAGACACAGCATAATTACCCCCCATCAGTCAACCTGTGAATGACCACAGTGCGCAGAGGGTGAGCTGAGTGCCACGGAAAGACCCAGACATTCCCTGCCCCGGAGGAAGTTAGTGCAGCGGTTGGGTAACCGAGACACTGGGGAGAAAGGAGTCTACATGGCGCTCATTCCTTAGTGTCCAGCAGCGTGGAGGAGGCCAAGTGGGGTGGGAGGCTTGGAGGAGGCTCCCTGGGCAGGAGAGAATCAGTGCTGGCCCCAAGCTCAAGGTTAAGGAAAAGATAGGGGAGAGGATGAGGGAACGGCAAGAAATCCTTGGAAAATAGAAATCAAGGATGAGTTTATGTTGATGCCAGAAACTGTGTCGTACACGCATAGTGTCTTCATCACGCGTGGTTTCCAGGAACGTTTTGAAGATCTCACGTTTGCATGGATTTCACAGTTTGGGGCACCAAAATAACCTTCTTTTAGATCCGTTTTCCCAAGAAGTGCTCTTGTGTCTAGAGAACAGCTATGTTGACTTGAGTGCACCCGTACGTCTATCACTGAAAGACATAGCTGGCGTGGGACAGGACCGAGGCACACGATGTAGTATTTCCAGGGCGGGACTGGGGGCTCCACAACAGGCCTCCCATGCGTCCCCCGTACTGCGTGACAGTGCACGGCTGGGAAGGGTCAGGGTGAGTGAGGGGCTGATGTCCAGCCCGCACTTGACTTCTCCGCACCGTGCTGCTGGGCTCTCTCTGCCAGGGCCAGGCATCAGCAGGATCCCATCCAAACACAGGCACCTTCTCCCGCGTGCTGCGCAGACAGGGGCTCTGTGCACACACAGTGCTGTACAGGACGGCCGCAGCTCGTCTGAGTCTCGTCTGACCGTGCACGGAACTCAGTAGCTGTTTCGGTGAACCCCGGGCTGGAATGTTGAGGTTTGCGCACAGTTGGTGTCCCTGCTGAAGGGGCTTAGTGGATTTCTGAAGAAAGGGAGTGACCCGTGTGTCGGGGGAGGGAGAAAGGGAAAGGTGGAGGTATGCTCTGAGACCCCTTAACAGTCACAGAGCTGGTAAATTAGCCTTGATGCTAAGTTGAAATAAAATCAAACTAATCTGTTCTAACCCAAAACAGTGTTTTCCTAATACTACTGCAAAGCCTTCCGTGCATACCTTCTGTGGCACAAAGCATTTCAGGTATGGACTGAGCCCTTTAGCTGAAGGCATTTTGTGCCTGCAGTACTTAGAGAACCAAAGAAGTAAAGGTTGGACCTGTGCCTTCAGGTGTTAATCGACTTAGGAAAAGAAAGAAGCTGACTGGGGGCCGGCGCCGTGGCTCACTTGGCTAACCCTCCGCCTACTGCGCCGGATTCCGATACGGGCACCAGGTTCTAGTCCCAGTTGCTCCTCTTCCAGTCCAGCTCTCTGCTGTGGCCCCAGAGGGCAGTGGAGGATGGCCCGAGTGCTTGGTCCCCTGTACTGGCATGGGAAGGAAGAAGCACCTGGCTCCTGGCTTCAGATGGGTGCAGCGCGTCGGCCGTAGGCCATTTAGGGGGTGAACCAATGGAAGCAAGACCTTTCTCTCTGTCTCTCTCTCACTGTCTATATCTCTACCTGTCAAATAAAAAAAGAAAGAAGCTGACTATAGAATGAGGGAGTTAGGCACTTGCAGGGACTATTAGCTGGCAATACTTGTCACATACACTTGGTCTTGACCTTGACCCCAAGTGTGGGCTGCAAGTTTGACATGCTATGGAAAGCAGTAAGCAGGCAGCCACAGAGCCTACACTGACAGCATCTCCCGCCTGCATAGTCACGAACAAGAGAAATTACTGACCAGGTGACCGTTGGGGTGGAAATTCGCTGGTCTGTGCCAGCACTGCCATCTTGGTCCGTCTCGGCGTGTGCTCAGCCACACCGTGGAGTCGTCCCCCGACCCCCTCCAGTGCCCAGGAGTGTGTCTGACTAGGCTCTTTGCTGGGCAGACTGGCTTTCAAGGCCTCGTCCGTGGGTGACATCTCATATTCCCCCCGGCCCAGCCCTCCTCTCCTGCTTCCCACATGGAAGTGGCTTCCCTGTTCCAGAGAGGTCTCCAGGCACTGCGTGGGGGAGCTCAGCTTTGTGTCCATCACACATCCTCGCTGTCCTCCAGTCGTTAATGTCAACGTGCAACCTGTCTGGACTTAACTTGCCCCTCTACCTCCCTGCGCTCTCTGCTTTACCAACATCAGAAACAGCTTTCGGCCGGCGCCGCAGCTCACTAGGCTAATCCTCCTCCGCCTTGCGGCGCTGGCACACCGGGTTCTAGTCCCGGTCAGGGCGCCGGATTCTGTCCCGGTTGCCCCTCTTCCAGGCCAGCTCTCTGCTGTGGCCCGGGAGTGCAGTGGAGGATGGCCCAAGTGCTTGGGCCCTGCACCCCATGGGAGACCAGGAGAAGCACCTGGCTCCTGCCATCGGATCAGTGCGATGCGCTGGCCGCAGCGCGCCAGTCGCGGCGGCCATTGGAGGGTGAACCATTGGCAAAGGAAGACCTTTCTCTCTGTCTCTCTCTCTCTGTCCACTCTGCCTGTCAAAAAAAAAAAAAAAGAGAGAGAGAGAAAGAAAGAAACAGCTTTCCCAAGTCCTCCTATGCAGCCCCTGTGGCTCTTAAAATTAACAAAGGACAAAGGTTGCTCTTCTTCCCTGGAGCTGTGACATGGAAAAGCTAATAAGGGCTGTAAGTGGCTGAGCAGGTGTTTGGGGGATGATGGATCAAGAGAGAGTTATGTGGACACAGATGCCTTTTGGCAGAGAGAACTGTGTTTGAATCCCAGTAAACTGTGTGAACCTGAGCCGTATGTTAGTGAGAGCCTCAGATTCCTGGTCTGTAAAACGAGAGTAGTGATTCCTACCTAGCCTGGGCGGCTGTAAAGATTAGACACTGTAAATTGCTCTGGGAAGTGCTCGGTTGAAACACAGCAAAGTGGGACCCACGTAATTACAACAAAAGCTGCTAAGTGACGTAAGACAAGTGCAAACAAAGGCGGTGGGGGTTCCCGGCACCTGCAGGAAGCTGCGTGTCACATGTGTGCACGGGGCCCTCCCAGCCTCCAGGTGATCTGCTGCCCGGCACACACCCAGGCGGGGCCGGGCTGGGCAGCACCAGGCCCGCGGCACAGACCTGGGAGCCCAGAGTCGCAGTGCAGCCGAGAGGGCTCGCCATGGAGGCTGGGGCCGGGCACAGCTGTGAGAGCTGTGGAGCCCATCGGTGGGGTTTGAGGGTCGTTCCGTTCTCCCGAAAGCGAGGCTGCTTCATCGTTTTCCCGTCCACCTCCCTCTGGCTGTCTAAGGTGAAGCGTTTGTCGTTCCTCTCCAGCTCGGAGGCCGAGAATGGCGTGGAGGAAAAGAAGAAGGGGGGTAGGTCGCCAGCGGCCCAGTCGCCCACCTCGTCCGTGGAGGCCGAGTCCCCGGACTCGAAGAGAAGCATCAGCCTGTGGTGAGTCCTCGCCCACCCGGTCGCCCCCTGCCCTCTGTGGGGAGACGCTGCCGGCAGAGCCACTCTCGCTAGGCTCATGGCCATTGTCAAGAGCGCGGATCTGCAGCCGGGTGAGGACGCCCGAGAAGGAACCCAGCGCTTTTCCATGGCGCCCTGGCGCTGGGCGGGCGTCCGTTCCCCTGTGCTCCTCTCTTCCCTCCTGTCTGCCCCGGCCGTCTGCAGGATGTCCGCACGCTCTGCACACACTCATCGGGCCGACCGACAGAGCCAGGTGTCCAGCTCTCAGGCTCGGGTTATCACACTCCTGGGAGGGCTGACTGGTGGCCGTGTCTGCCTGGCCTCTGGCTGGGCACCCCTGTGTCTCCCTCGCCCAGGAGCCCCCAGCAAGGGCAGGCGGAAACCCATCCCAGAACCCTCCAGGGTCCTGTGTCCAGGGCTGTGAGGACAGAGGTGGTTTTAAGATGCGCACCTGTGGTCCCCGTCGCTCTCAGAGGCATCTGTGACCAAGGAGAAACCTAGCAGGGATGGGTGTCTGTGGCTTTGCATTCGCGCTGCCTGTCACTGGGGTGTCAGAACGGCCACCTTCTGCCTCGTCCAGCCCATGCTGCGGGTGACACGTAGCTCCTGCTTGTCACTGCTGGTCAGAGCTTCTCTGTGAACCTCTCTTTCCGTCAGGGCCCCCATTGTCTCTTTCCCACTACCATTCCCTCTCCCCTCTGTGTCTCTGCTGCATGCCTGTTTTGTGGCCTCTAGCTCTCCCCGTGGCTCCTGCCCTTTCTCCCACCAGGGCTCAGAGCACGCTGTCTCTCACACATTTCACCACCACCACGGGCCCCCCGCAGGCGCTGCTGGCTTTGCGCTCACTTCCCTGGGCTTCTGCGTGAGGGTAACACACTCATCCGCGGTGCGTGCATGGGGCCGGCCCCACGGCTGTGCGATGCGTGCAGTCGCCAAGGGCCTCACACATGGTTTGATGCTCTGCTCTCTTGGCCTGGAAATTCTCTTGGTCCTTTGCATCAGAGGCCCCAGTTGTCCTTTCTCACTGGGCTCCTAGGTCACCCCATGTCACCTACGTCTCCCATAGGCAGCAAGAATAGCATGATTGAGAAGACCCCAAGAAGGCAGTCCCATGTAAATAAACAGCAGCCTCAGGGCCGTGCTGTGCCTGGGGCCCCCTGCTGCTTATGCCTGGTGAAATCATCAAGGGTAAAGGTGCCCACTGCCCCTTCCACGGCTCTTCACAAGGGCTGATCGTCTCCTTGCATTCCCATCCACGCTTATTAATGGATCCATGGAGGGGATGCATTCAGATTAACACATGGTGTACATAAAGGGTAATGGACACAAAATAATTTTGTTTTCAAGTAGCATATAAACGCCATTGGAGTCTCTGGGAAATCTGTCTGTGCGTGGGTCCCATGGCCTGAAGCCGAGATAAAACCCACTTAGCTAGAATTGCAGAGGGGGGCTTTGCTGTGACCTGGGTGCATAGACGCATGAACTGTGGGGACTGCAGGGGACCTGAGACAGCAGGTAGCGCCTCTTTCCCAGCTGGGAGAACCAGAGCGTCTCCTAGCTGTGACCACAATCGTTTCTGTCCCTCTGTGGCACCACATGCCATCTGCACTACCTCATATTCTTCTCGAATCTACTTTGAACCAAATATGTTTGAGCTTCATTAAAAAAAATGCAAATTGAGAATGTGATATACCAATTCCCCCCTCCACCAGCAAATGATATAGCAACTACATAATTAAAAATCTTGTTACTATACATCTCCTAAAAATTACGTGTGCATTCCACTCTGGAATGACTGCTTTGAGCCGTAGAGCTGACGGTACGTGCAAATTCACACTACAGTGGAAAACCTGGCCTAGAATCACCTGAGAAAGAAATCCTGCCCTTAACAGGACAGAGGAAGACTTGACTTCCAACATGTTCTTTTGGGGGGGCGTTTGGCGCCACAGTTAAGGCACCACCTGGGACGCTCCCATCTTACATCGGAGCGCCTGGGTTCCCGTCCTGGCTGTGCGTCCGATTCCAGCTCTCTGCTGATGTGCACCCTGGGAGACAGCAGGTGTAGGCTCAGGTACTCGGGTCCCTGCCACCCAAGTAGGTGACCCGAATGGAGTGCTGGGCTCCTCGCTTTGGCCTGGCCTGGTCCTGGCTATTGTAGGCATTTGGAAAGTGAATCAGAGGATGGTTCTGTTTTTCTGTCTTTTTACTTCTCTCTCCATCTCTCTCTCTCTCTGATTTCCAAATAAATTCATTAATTTAAAATAGATCTTTAAATTCTTTTTTTTCTGATTGTACTGTTACTGTTTTCCCTCACTGGGATGACTGGGATGTTTTCCTTTTTTTTTTCCTTCATACTCAGTTCCTGCTCATCTGATTAGCTGCAGCATACTAAACCCACATTTTGGGGCTGCTGTTGTGGCACAGCGCATTGAGCCACCACTTGGTGATGCCTGCATCCCGTACTGTTGTGTAGGTTTGAGTCCTGGCTGCTCCACTTCTGATCCAACTTCCTTCTAATGCCCCTGGAGAGACAGAGGATGATAGCTCAGGTCCTGGGACCGCTGCCACCCATGTGGGAGACCTGGATGCAGTTCCTGGCTCCTGGCTTCAGCCGCCCAGCCCCAGCTGTTGCAGCCAGTTGAGGGGTGAACCAGTGGATGGAAGGTATTTCTACCTCTGTCATCTGCCTTTCAACTAAATAAATTTTTTCAAGATTTATTTACTTATTTTTTGAAAAGCAGAGTTGCAGAGAGAGAGAGTCTTCTATCCACTGGTTCACTCCCCAGATGGCTGCAATGGCCAGAGTTGTGCTGATCTGAAGCCAGGAGCCAGGAGCTTCTTCCACGTCTCCCATGCGGGTACAGGGGCCCAGGGACCTGGGCCATCATCCACTGCTTTCCCAGGCCATAGCAGAGAGCTGGATCCAAAGTGGAGCAGCTGGGACTTGAACCGGTGCCTATATGGGATGCCAGCACTGCGGGCGGAGGCTTACTATGCCACAGTGCTGGCCCCAATAATAAATTTAAAAAAAAAAAAAAAAAACTTTTTCCCTATTAGCCTCCTCTTTGTCCTGTTACACTTCCTGTCTCTATACCTTCTCCTAATTCCTGAGATGCATTTTGTTTGGGTACTAAGTCGTGGACTGCCTGGAGCTGCTGTGTGTCCCAGGCATTGAACACAATGCCCTATTCAACTAATACTCGTTAAATATTAATGGATTCTGAAACAGAAACATCATTTGAAGTATAGCTGCGATTTGTATTGAGTAAGGTACTTCAAGTGCTCCTCCTGACACTGATAAAAATACTTTGGAGATGATCCAAGTACTTTCACAACTCAGTTTCATTTCTCCCTTTAGAGCTGGGGGTTACAGCCTGCTGAACTCATCCTGGTCTAAAACACGGGCTGTGTCGCTGCCCTGAGAAGGCCATGGATGACTGTAGATGTCTACGAGAAAAAAGGGGTTCCAGGCTTTCTTGTGAGATGGTCTGATAATCGAGGTTTATTAAAATGAAATTAACGAGTGGAATAAATAAAACCGGCTTCTAAACCCGTCGGGTTTTATTTCCCCCAGGTCAAAATCCAGTTTTGATGGTGCCTCTTTAGCAAGCGATAAGAATGACTATAAAGCAGAAGGCAAAAGTGACTCTAAGTCTGAAAGAAAGAAGTCATCGTCTTCCAGCCAGGTAACGTGGGAACGGGACGCGTGTGGTCTGCGCGGGGGACACAGCCAGAGGACAGGAAGGCCCCAGCAGGCAGCCACCTGCTGCACGGGCGAGTGCAGGCCTGGCACTTGGAGAACTTAGCACAGACGGGTGTCGCTCTATGCTGCATCTTCTGCCAGTATTAGAGTCACCGCTGAGTCTGAGTGATCGTGAGGTGCAGGCGGTGGCCTGCAGCTCTGCCGGGTGCCCAGAGAGCAGTTCCCCACGCGGTGATGCCCCCCTAGTCACTACCAGGACAGCGGCAGATGTGACCCCGTGTGTTACAGTGGGAGAGTCTGCTGATGCGGCTGCCTCAGGAGAGGGCCAGCCCGGTGCACGGAGCAGGAGGGCCGGTGCCCAGGGCCGTGACTCCCCAGCAGGGATTGCCATAAAATACACCCGAGATGCAGGGTGTCGGCCTGGGCCTCACAGGCGGTGACGCACTGGCCGAGGCCAGGAGTCTGCCCTGGTGGCAGGGTTTTTATAACTGTCCCCGAGTCCTTGAATATGTGTCTGCTAAGAATTAAACTTAAAAACAGCTCAAGGGCTGGCGCTGCGGCTCACTAGGCTAATCCTCTGCCTTGCGGCGTCGGCACACCGGGTTCTAGTCCCGGTCTGGGTGCCGGATTCTGTCCCGGTTGCCCCTCTTCCAGGCTAGCTCTCTGCTGTGGCCAGGGAGTTCAGTGGAGGATGGCCCAAGTGCTTGGGCCCTGCACCCCATGGGAGACCAGGATAAGTACCTGGCTCCTGCCATCGGATCAGCGCAGTGCGCTGGCAGCGCGCCAGCCGCGGTGGCCATTGGAGGGTGAACCAACGGCAAAGGAAGACCTTTCTCTCTGTCTCTCACTCTGCCTGTCAAAAGAAAAAAAAAAAACACAAACAGCTCAAGACATTTAGATACTAAATACACAAAGGCGTTGGTCACGGAAAACCCCTTTTAGATTTCCCTTTGTCCCAGCCACGAGTGACCTTTATAAAGGTTTGCTTGTACTTCGGGTTTCTCTCCAGGCCCCCATTTAGAGTCACAGCCTGCACTGATTTGCCGTGTGGCTTTCCATGTAGCTGCATCTTACTACCTGTTTGTTTTTATTTTTATCTTTTGGCCTTTTATTACATTGACGTTTTTGAAGCGTATCTGGCCCGGAATATTTTACATCAACTGTGCAACCAAGGCTGCCTGTGGCTGTGAAACACAAGCTCATGAAGCCCCCGTAGGTCACGGAGGTTTCTCGCAGTGCCTCTCGGCGTGCGGAACGTACTCCTTGCGGGCATCCTGGGTGATTTGCTTTAGCCAAGGCCTTTATCTGCAGAGTCGCTGGCTTGCCCGGCCACCTGTTGCTGTGGGGACCTGGGCCGTGGCTCTTCTGGAGAGCAGCAGTAGGGCAGCCACTCCTGCCTTGGGTCATAGCCATCAGGCCCCTGCCTGTGCGTCTCTCCATCTTCTCCTTAGCAGACTTTCTCTTTGAAAGCCAGACAGACGCTGTGGAGGGGACGACCAGCACCCCTGTTCACAGCAGCGTGGTGCAGGCCACATCACCCATTGTCCCTAACGCACAGTGTCCTCACCTGTGCCATGGCGGTGCCAGGTTCCCAGGGCTACTGTGACAATGCCGTCACAAGCTAAGAACTGTCACTTGCTGGCTGTACATTGTCAGTTGTCACAGTTGTCACAGTTGTCAAAATAGATGCCATGAAAAGGCCCAACTTGCAGCATTCTAGATGCTAGGGCCTTCTGCCGCCCTGGAGAGTTAGGTCTTGGGTAGGAAGTCCTACTTGTGACAGTTGTCCTGCCCTGTCGTGGCCTCAGAAGTGCCTTCACCACAGCAGTAGTGGTGGCGACCACACATCCACATCCAGGGGTCCGTGGATGTGGCATTGTTTTTTTTTTAAAGACTTATTTATTTGAAAGTCGGAGTCACACACAGAATGATAGGCAGAGAGGCAGAGGGTCTTCCACCCACTGGTTCACTCCCAGATGGCCACAATGGCCAGAGCTGGGCCGATCTGAAGCCAGGAGCAAGGAGCCTCCTCCAGCTCTTACCATGTGGGTGCAGGGGCCCAAGGACTTGGGCCATCTTCCACTGCTTTCCCAGGCCATAGCAGAGAGCTGGATCGGAAGTGGAGCAGCCAGGACTCGAACTGGTGCCCATATGGGATGCCGGCACTGGAGGCAGTGGCTTTACCTGCTACGCCACAGCGCTGGGCCCTGGATGTGGGATTTCACATAAGCCTTGGGACATGCCCCGATGCTGGTATCCTTCCTGCCCTCCAGCATGGAGACGCAAGCTGAGGTCCAGTGAAGTTCTGTGAGCAGGTCGTGCTCACATGCCAACCAAGAGGTAGAACTGAGCCTTGAACTCAGGTGAAGTGGAGTACTCGCCTGTGTCCTCCGCGCCCCGGGATCCAGCACCTTCCCCATTGAGAGTCCCTAGAATTCCAGGTCATTTTCCCCAGCGACATCTGTGTCCGGCCTTCTCATCTCAGCACAAGGCTGATGGCCATCCGTACCACTGGGCCCACCATCAAGGTGTTATTCTCGTTAGAAAATGAAACCTTTGTGCCCGGGCTCCCTCTGGCTTTCACTGTAGGGGTGTGGTGGAGACCCCAAGATCCAAGAGGCTGAATTGCTTAAGGTAGTCCTAAGGGCGGGGATCTCTGATCGAAGTCGCATTTGAATGTGTGACGTTGCACGAAACGGTGACGCCGGCCTTTGCTCTCCTTGCAGTACAAGGCGAACATGCACTTTCACAAGCTGTTTCTGGAGGTCCCAACTGAGGAACCACTGAGGCAGAGTAAGTTCCGGCCTGCTGGACCTCCTGAGCGCCTCCTTGGGAAAGGTGCTCATTGACTGCGGTGTGGGGGAGGGGGAGAGTGTGTCCCAGGGACTGAGGCCTATCCAGGGGGAATGAACGGGTTTCTCAAAGTCGTTAACAGCAATGCCAGCGTCAGCCAGCTTGCACTACGCACCTTGGAGGACCCAAGGCTAGAAAGAGAAACTGAATCTCACCATGTGGTTCCAGAATGTTCTCTGTGCCTCCTGCATTGACTGCTGCAATGCATGTGCTTAGGTTGTCCTGAGAGTTAAGATAACCAGCCCGGCCCAGGAGAGGCCGCCAGAAAGCCCAAAGAAAACAGACACCCAGGTGGGCACACATGCTAATACCCGCGGGCGTGGTGGTCACACCTACAGCCCTTGACCAGTGTATCAGTTACGTGTGTGGTTCATTGCAGAGCCCAAGACTGTATTCTGGCCTCTCCCCGTGTATAAATGTTAGGGCAAGGTGCTGGACTCCTGCCATGAGCTCCCAGTCAGGCGTGAGTCACATGCCCTTCTCACAGTCAGACCATCTATTCCGAAGAAGTCATTGGTGAGGATCCCTGGGGAGAGAGGCGCGTGGGGCTCATGTGGATACACGCAGGTGACACGCCTGTCTGCATAGAGGCGGCTTAGCAGCTCACTGTCGGGGCCCCACGTGCAGTGCTAGACTTGCCTCTGCTGTTTCATTCTTATTAAGGTTCATTTTATTTCTTTGAAAGGCAGAGTTAGAGAGACAGGGGGTGGGGGTATTCCATCCATCATTTCACTGCCCAGATGGCCACAGTGGCTGAGGCTGGGCCAGACTGAAGCCGGGAGCTTCTTCCACATCTCCCACGTGGATGCAGGGGCCAGCAGTCTTGGGCCATCCTCCCATGGCTCTCCCACGCACATTAGCAGGGAGCTGGATCTGAAGTGGAGCAGTTGGGACTTCAGCCAGTGCCCATATGTGCTGCCAGCATTGCAGGTGGTGGCTCAGCCTGCTACGCCACAGCGCCAGCCCAGATTCTTATTCTAAAATCCACACAAGTTTGAATTAGAACACAAACGCTAGTGGCTTCTTCCACTTGGAGTGATTAACAGAGAGAAGACAGAGCTCCGGGGTACCTATGTATGAGTGTTGTCGCGGCCATCCTCGTGTCAGCAGAATGCACACAGAGGTTTGATTTTAGAGAGAAGTCCTAACAGTGTTCTGCCCGTGTGTGCTCCCCAGGCTTCACCTGTGCTCTGCAGAAAGAAATCCTCTACCAAGGGAAGCTCTTTGTATCAGAAAACTGGATTTGTTTTCATTCCAAGGTCTTTGGAAAGGACACAAAGGTTGGTATGAACTTTGAAAAAGCAAGCTAACCCTGTATTTCTTATGTATTGTGATTATTGTTTTAGAGTGAGCTATAGTTTTTTTTACATTTTTTTTTATTTGACAGAGTTAGAGAGAGAGAGAGAGAGAGAGAGAGAGAGAGAGAGAGAAAGGCCTTCCTTCTGTTGGTTCACTCTCCAAATGGCCACTATGGTCAGCGCCGCACCAATCCGAAGCCAGGAGCCTCCTCCTGGTCTCCAATGCAGGTGCAGGCGCCCAAGCACTTGGGCCATCCTCCACTGCCCCCCCGGGCCACAGCAGAGAGCTGGACTGGAAGAGGAGCAACCAGGACTAGAACCCAGCGCCCATATGGGATGCCGGCGCCGCAGGTGGAGGATTAATCTAGTGAGCCACGGCGCTGGCAGAGTGAGCTACAGTTCTAAATATTTCTCTCATGATATGCCTTTATACCAATTTTTTTAAAAAGGATTTATTTAAGGGCCTGGCACTGTGGCATAGCAGGTAAAGCCACCACCTGCAATGCCAGCATCCCATATGGGCGCCGGTTCAAGACCCAGCTGCTGTACTTCCAATCCAGCTCTCTGCTATGGCCTGGGAAAGCAGTAGAATATGGCCCATGTCCTTGGGCTCCTGCACCCACATGGGAGACCCAGAAGAAGCTCCAGGCTCCTGGCTTCAGATCGGCGTAGCTCCGGCCATTGAGGCCAATTGAGGAGATAACCAGTGGATGAAAGACCTCTCTCTCTCTCTTGCCTCTCCTTCTCTCTGTGTGTAACTCTGAATTTCAAATAAGTAAATCTTTTTAAAAAAAGATTTTAAAAGATTTATTTATTTCAAAGACAGAGATACAGAGAGAGAAGGAAGGAGGGAGGGAGGAAGAGGGAGAGAGAGAGAAGGCACTTGTATCTGCTGGTTCACTCGCAAGTGGCCGCAACAGCCACGGCTGGGCCAGGCCGAAGCCAGCAGCTTCTTCCAGATCTCCCACATGGGTACAGGGACCCAAACACTTGGGCCAAGCTCCACTGTTTTCCCAGGTGCATTAGCAGGGCGCTGGATCAGAAATTGGAGCAGCTGGGACTCAAACCAGTGCCCATGTTGGATGCCAGCACTCCTGTGCCGCAGTACCAGCCCCATATACCAACTTTGTCTTGTCACAGTTGGAATGCCTCCAGGGGACCGCAACTTCCTCTTTTCCCTGTACTCCAGTCCTCATCCACGGATATGTAAACCCCTCCCACTCCCATGCCCTGCACCCTTCTCCCCACGAAGAATATCCCCAAAGAATACTCCACGCTGCGTGTGTGGAGACTGTGCCATAGTCCGTCTCAGAGACATTCTTTAAACTGGACCCAGTGTTTTGAGAAATACCACTTTTTGCACCATATTCATGCCCGTTTCCATCAGAACTTTAGAGAGTCTGAAGAGACTTCCAAGAGGTTCAGTAAGACCTTACGTGAGCTGACTTTGAACCCTCTCCTGCACTAAGTGAACAGGAAATGGAGAAGTCCTGGTTGTAGGTTCACAGTGCACCCTGACACTGTCTTTCCATTTCAGTATCAAACACAGACTTGGGGGAGCAGAGGTGCAGGACCCCTGGCCATAACCAGAGTCACCTGGGGCAGCTGGCGTTTTTCCCAGGATCCACCTTCTAAAATGAGGAGCTCGTGACTGTGGCGTAGAAGCAGGGAAGAGAGAATGCTATCCAGCGACATCCTTCACCTGTGAGCTGTGAGGATGTGACATCACCGCCCATGCAGGTCACCAGAGCAGGAGGGCAGAGAAGCAGCTCGGGGTTGCGTGACCTCACTGAGTTTCCACGCAGCCTGAGTCAGAGTTTCTGAGTCAGCACTTTTCACACTCGGGAAGCACCGGATTAAAAATCTTCTGAGTGACAGACAGGCTTTATTCAGACATTCTCCCTAAAACCATTAGCGGTTGTAGAAAGGCCACTTAACCACTGCAGTGGACACACGTTGCTTTGTCTGCCTTGGGTCTACAGGCTGGCGTAGTATTCTTACACAAAATGTGTTTTTTTTTTTTTAATATCCTTTATTACATACATTCACGTTTAGGTAAACACTTTGATACACAGTATTATCTGAATCAGTGTAACGCCAGGCAGTATTAAGCAGTATTCTGCCACATTTCTGGATTACAGCACTTGTTCCTGGAATGGGAAAGGGCACTGGGCAGTGCTGATCCATGTCATAAAGACAGCCAGCATCTCTGGGCAGCGCAGCAGGGGCTGGGGACTTGAGTGAACAAAAACTGTCCTTTGTTCAGCAACGGGAGAATCCACAAAGGCAGCAAGTACTGTTTCAGGCTGCTGTGATTCTCCAGGGCTTTTTTTTTTTTTAAGATTTATTTTATTTATTTGAAAGACAGTTACAGAGAGAGGTAGAGCCAGAGAAAGAGAGGTCTTCCATCCACTCGTTCACTCCCCTGATGGCCGCAACGGCCAGAGCTGAGCCAGTTGAAAGCCAGGAGCCAGGAGCTTCCTCCAGTCTCCCATGTGGGTGCAGGGGCCCAAGGACTTGGGCCATCTTCTACTGCTTTCCCAGGCCATAGCTGAGAGCTGGATCAGAGAAGGAACAGCCGGGACTAGAACCGCCGCCCATATGGGATGCCAGCACCTCAGGCCAGGGCTTTAACCCACTGTGCCACAGCGCCGGCCCCTCTCCAAGGATTTTAAAATCCTGCTTCTTCTCAAGAGAGAAAGGAGACCAAATAGCTAAAAGGAGTGACCCTGTTTTTTTAAAAAACATGGACACCCTGGGATCACTAAACTACGGCGGCCGGAGAGCCAGCATTCACAGAGGGCGGGCCTACGAGCGGCGGTAGTAACTGGTGTTTCCCCCTACTTTCCTCATTGCCAACAGCAGGTGCAGCCCGATCCAAAATGGAGTAGGGGGAGCTTGCTAAGCACCCCACTGTGGAGAACTCTTCATAAATGGAACCTTCGTTTCAGTGGGGTCTTTGAGTCCGCATGCTGGTGGTAGCAGACGGTGTCTGGTCAGCACACTCGTACCACAGTCCGTCCAGGTGCAGTGTGCAAGTGATCTGAGCTTGAGAGTTCACAACGTCGAGTGGCCATGGCCACGGAGCCGAGCGCTGGCCGCACTGTGACGTTTTTGCGGCTGTGGCTCCTTGTAGCATTTCCCCTCCCCACAGGCACCTAAACAGAGAGTTGGGGGGAGGCGTAGCAGGGTTAGACCCAACAGAGTGATCCCACGCAGGAACCGCCTTTAGAACCCTGGACTTGTCTCAAAATAGATGGCAATGTTGCGTTCTGTTCCACGTGTGGCGATAAAGGCTTCTACCAAGAGGTGCGGTAGAAATAACGACCCCCACTGCGTGCTGGCTTTGTCAGCAGCAGTCTGCGGGCTCAGCCCTGTAGCCGTGGCAGCCTGTGGAAATCTCCTTCCTCCCTGGAGGCTGGACAGCCTGCTGCTGCTGCTGACGACTGCTTTTATATATTTATTTTTTCTTCTTCACAGTGCAGATTCCAATCCTGTGCAGCCTGAATGAGTGCTAACCCGGTGCTTCTGTTTCAGATTTCCATCCCGGCTTTCTCGGTTACCCTAATAAAGAAAACCAAAACTGCTCTCCTGGTGCCAAACGCCCTGATTATCGCGACGGTCACAGACAGGGTGAGTACGCCGCAGAGCCAGGGCACGGGTGCTCGTCTCTGCCACGCCGGGCTCAGCTGCCTGCAGGGCCTCTTGCCAGGGACGGAGCCCCTAAAGCCGTAAATACCACCGCCTCCCGCAGGCAGGCATGGGTCGCTGTGGAGGACGCAGGTTGGAGAGTAGCGCCCTGGGACACTGTGTGGCCTTGCCTTCCCTGCCAGGTGACTGACTGTCGTCGGGTCATTGCCAGCTTTGCGTTTCCTGCCAACTTCATAACACCTGTCTGACCAGGGTCGAAAACATCAAATTCTTTTCCAGCTTCCCTTTCTCTAACATCTGTTGGGTCAGGTGAAGCTGAAACATGCAAGTTTTTTGATACCATTTTGTAACAAATACTGGGGGGACAGGGTTCTGCTGAGGAGTCCCTGGGGTCCTGGTGAACAGCCCCCATCCCCTCCATCTCTGCCTCCCCGGAGCCATGCGAGACACAGGGAACTCCAGCCAGCCTGCCGTGGCAGCCCCTCTAACACTCCTGAGCCCCGTGCTACCGAGAAACCTTGCTGCCACCTCTGTGCCCAGATACTCCCGATAGTCCCGAGCTGTTGTTGGCTCCTGGGCCTCCTCTGACACGTGCATCCAGCAATCCTTGCGCTGAAGTGCAGTGTGCTTCAGTTGGCGAGATAAGGAGGTCATTTGGCTCTTTTTCTTTGGAAACTGACTCATCTTTTATTGTTTCTGTGAACGCATTTTGTGAACGCTACATTTCATTTCTAAGCATACTAGGTAACTTATTCAGGAAGAAGAGAGAAGGAAAGATAAAAGAGGCCATTCTGATAAACTACAGAATGTGATAGTATTTGAAATGTTATTTTTTAAAGATTTATTGATTTATTTGAATATCAGAGTTAGAGAAAGACAAAGCTCTTCCCTCTGCTGGTTCACTCCCTACATGGCCACAGTGGAGCCAGGAGCTTCATCCAGGCCTCCCACATGGGTGGCAGGACCCCAAACACTTGGGCCATCCTCCACTGCTTTCCCCAGGCCATTAGCAGGGAGCTGGATCAGCAGTGGAGCAGCCGGGACAGGAACGGGACAGGAACAGGCACCCATGAGGGAAGCTGGCACTGCGGGTGGTGGCTTTACCCGCTACGCCAGCCCCTGAAATGCTGTTAGTGTGAATGGATACAGAGGCATCAGTACTTACTCCTCAGCCTGCTCACAGTAATGCGTTCCTTGTAGTTTGTCATTGTTCCACACCGCTAAGTGCTCTGTTTTGTTTTTCAGTACATATTTGTCTCCTTGCTGTCGAGAGATTCAACTTACAAGCTGCTGAAGTCGGTGTGCGCACACTTGGAAGTGAGTCCGACATCCCTGAGCCGCAGGTGCCTGTCCCTCTTCTGTATCCCTTACGGTCTCACTGCTCACGTGCCTTTTCATTTCATCCCCGTCATTTCAGAACGCAAGTCCCAACCCATGTAACACTCCCAACCCGTGCTGTGCTGAGAACAGTTTCCGGGCAGACCGCCCCTCGTCCCTGCCTCTGGTAAGTCACCTACATAGCTGTCTGCACGCAAAAAAACAGAGGGTGTGGTGTGGCCCCCGCGACACCCTGACTGGGAGAACGGAGGACAGGAGGCGGGAGACACACTTGAAGAAGCAGGGCCCGTTTGTCCTGAGGGAGAAGGAGCCACAAGGAGGCCAGAAACCTTTTTTAAGTAGTTGAAGGGTTGCCCTGAAAGAGCAAAGCCAGCTGCCGACAGGCCGCCTTGGTGAGTTACTGATCACTCAAGGTCCGGGTGCTCCGGTTGCTTGTCAATATCGCTGTGGAGGAATCCACGGCTCTATCTGAGGCCGGGCATGAGTCATTCTGCAGATCGTTGAAACTGTGCTAGTGTACACTTAGGGATTCCAGGAAAAATCTATGCTCGCCTTCGAAGGCTACAGCGCAGACCAGACGGCAGGCGTACTCAGGATTACCTGCAGAAAAATAGACCAGCGCCCAGCCACAGGCAGATGGGGCTTGATTCCCTGAGGCTTCGTGGACTCTGGGGCACATCCACCATGGGGAGTAGCTCCGCCTGCTTGTACAACATTTTCCACAATTTTTATTTACTCATTTAAGAGGTAGAGAAATACAGACACACGGAGAATCCTTATCTACTGATTGACTCCCTCAAGCGCCCACAGCGTCCAGGGCTGGGCCAGGAATGAAATCCAAGTCTCCCGTGTAGCTGGCAGGGACTCCGTGAGTTGAGCCCTCAGCCCTGCCTGTCGGAGACGGGACAGCACAGCCTCACACCCCGGTGTTCTGATGTGGACCGCAAGCCCCGAGGCTGACACCCCTGTGTGAACAGGGTTCATGCACGTAATGCTGTAGTATTTCACCGAGAGAGTTCTGACTACATCATTCTAGTGCTCATTCCTAAACTGAACACTGTTAAACACTCACCTTGAGTGAAGCAGAACGCCTTCCAGTTTCAGCGTCTTCTACAGACCGTGGTGAGGTGTTAAGAAAAATAAGTGGATGGGACACATGTTTACACAAAACCTAGTTCTAGAATATTCAGAGCAGCATTATTCCTAATAGCCTTAAAAAAGGACAATTTTAATATTTATTTATTTGAAAGGCAGAGTTACAGAGAGAGACCAAGATCTTCCATCCACTGGGTCACTCCCCAAAGGGCCCCAGTGACTGGAGCTGGGCCGTGCCTAAGTTGCTAGCTCGCCCCAGATCTCCCACATGGGTGCAGGGGCCTAAGTACCCAGGCCATCCTCCTCTGCTTTCCCAGGCACGGTAGCAGAGAGCCCGTGTGGGATGCTGGCCCCTCAGGGAGCACCGCACCAGCCCCATAACAAAAATCCTAACGTTCATCAAGTGATGAATAGATTTTTAAAATGTGCTCTATCAGGGGAATATTAAGCCATTATACGTATTAATGAGGCTATAACATCGGTGGACCTTGCAAGTCTACTGATATGAAATGTCCCACTGGACAAATCCATAGAGACTGAAAAGAAAGCTGGGAATGAAATGAAGGAAGAGTTGGAGTGACTTTCCTGTCACCCACAGAGTGTGTCCTTTGGGGCTGATTGACATGTTCTAGAATAATATAGTGTTGATGGTTACACAACATTACAAATATTCTAGGACTGGTGCTGCAGTGTAGGCATCCCATATGGGCACCGGTTCAAGTCCCAGCTGCTCCACTTCCAATCCAGCTCCCTGCTAATGTACCTGGGAAAGCAGCAGAGGATGGCCCAAGTACTTGGGCCTCTGCACCCTATTGGGGGATGCGGAAGAAGCTCCTGGCTTCTGGCTTCAGTCTGGCCCAGCCCTGGCCATTGCAGCCATCTGAGGAGTGAACAGCAGATGGAAGATTTCTTTTTCTCTGCTTCTTTTGCAACTGCCTTTCAAATGAAAAAATTACCAAAAAGAAAAATTCTGTAAACCAGTTAACTACCATATACCTTAACATGGCAAATTTTATGTTACATGAATTTCGTCTCAATTTTTAAAAAATCTGCCTTAAAAAGTTGTGGGAAGTAACACAAAATAGAATGAAACACGCTTTCAAACCTGGGCTCCCCACCCTGTGAAGTCTCCAGACAAACTCTCCACCCAGTCAGTGCAGCCTCCCCAGGTAGCTGTGGAGGTTCCAGCTGATAGGTTACCATCACTCAGTAGATCACTACCAAATTAGAGAGGTTCGGATTTTCAGTTTCCTAATCTCTATTGGAAAAAAAAAAAAAAAAACTTTGCATGAAGTTAACTGTTGAGATGTGTAAAATTAGCTAGCTAGAACTGGGTGAAAGTTTAGTCATTTGCTTATGAGGGGACTCTGTCTGGCAGCTAACTGAATTGTTACAGCTCAGCCTGACTTCACTTTCCCCGGGACATTTTACCGTCACTGTCTCTTCAGTTCTCAGCACCTGGGAGACCAGGGGAATACAGAGGCAGACACTGCGTTCCCTCGCTCCTCTGCTGTTTTCCTGTAACTGCAGTGGACTATCCCTGACCCTGTGGGAATTAGAGAAAAAAAAAAAAAGTCAAAACATCCTTTCTAGAATCAAATTGGCCATCCAATCATTTTCTCTTTTCTGTGTTTAATACCTTTTTTAAAAAAATAAAAAAGTTGTTTATTTGAAAGAGTTACACAGAGAGAGGAGAGGTGGGGGAGGGGATGGTTTGCCATTCCCTGGTTCACTCCCCAAATGGCCGTAACGGCTGGAGCTGCGCCAATCCAAAGGCAGGAGCCAGGAGCTTCTTCCAGGTCTCCCATGAAGGTACGGGGGCCCAGGGATTTGGGCCATCTTCTACTGCTCTTCCAGGCCACAACAGAGATCTGGATCAGAAGTAGAACAGCCAGGACTCGAACTGGTGCCCGTATGGGATGCTGGCACTGCAGGCAGCGGCTTTACACCACACTGTGCCATGACACCAGCCCCTTAGTATCTTTTTTAAAAAACTGTAATAGGGTAGATGTCTAGCATAGTGGCTCAGATACCACTTGGAATGTCTGTATCCCTCATCTGAGTGTCTGGGTTCAAGTCCCTGCTCCACCCCCACTTCCAGCTCCCTGCTGATGCAGACCCTGGGTGGCGGAAGGCAGTGGCTCAAGCAGTTGGGTTCCTGCCTCCCACCTGGGAGATCAGCACCCAGTGGCCTGTTTCTGCTTCAGCCAGGTCCAGCCCTGCTTGTTGGAGGCATCTCAAGAATGAACCAGGGATGGGACATCTCAGTCTCCCTCCCTCTCTTTTTGTCTGCCTTCAAATAAAAGCTTTGAAAAACCAGCAACTTACTAGTACCATTTAATACTTCAACCAAACGCGGATTTAGGTGTCTTGGTTTTCTCTTACATCCCTGCCTACAGCAGTTTCCAGCGCTAATGAGACGCCCTCAGCTTCACACCGGGGGGCTTCAGTCATCAGCATTCCGGGTTTTTCTTGAGACGTTATTGTTTCTAACAAGCTGGCCGCCAAACGAGTTCTGACTGCCCTGAGGAATTTCACTTTCGGTAGCCAGTTACACGGCAGCGTGTTGGGAAAAGCCCTGTTGGCTGGCGTAGCCCTTCCTCCTTTTCCGTGTTTTGCAGATCAGCCCCAAGTTAAAGGGTTGGCGGTGACAACACCGTGTCTGTAACAGGGACAAACTGGCCTCTTCATTTCCTTGTGTTCTTTCAGGATTTCAACGATGAATTCCCAGATCTGGATGGAGTGGTTCGGCAAAGGCGGCAAGACATGGAAGGGTACAGCAGTTCCGGCTCCCAGACCCCCGAATCGGAGCACTCCCGAGGTCTGGAAAATCTCTGCTTCTCCACCCCGGTTTGAGTCCCTCCCCCTCACCTCCCCACCTCCCCACGGGAACCTGGAGAGAGAGTAACCCGGAGAGACAGAGAGTAGCTTCAGACTTCGGGAGCTATGCCTTGCCCGTGTGGATAAATTCCTGTTACTTTGTGCGCACTGCACAGATGTCTGAGACATGACAGCAGGTTGTTAACTTCCTCGCTCTTACTTCCCTAACATTACCGTTCAAGCCGAGCCGTCCTGGTGAGCCGGGGGCTGGGGGCGGAAGTGAGGATACAGACCGTCCTCCTCCCGCTCTGTGCCTCTCTGGGGATCCCAGGCTCCAGCCAGCCCGAGTCAGCTTGCTGGAAGATCCACAGATGTGTTTGACCGTCGTGCACATGGAGGGATTGCTTGGTTTGTGGGGGGTGCTGCGTTTTTAGTGCCGTGGAGAGAAAAGTGACCCCGCTGCGTTTCTTGGCCTGGTAGATTTCCATGTGACAGAATCCCAGACAGTTCTGAACGTCTCCAAAGGAGAAGCAAAACCATCCCGGGCAGATGCCCACGTCAAGAGAGTGCCAGAAGGAAAGGCCAAGAGCGTCCCTGCCCACAGTAAGCAAGGGGACTTTCTAAGGGGGTTTCTGTTGTGACTTGTTCACTCCATGACTGCCTTTCCTATTTCCACCCCCCCCCCCCGCCCTAAGTCTTGGCTTGCAAACTCACTTAGGCCCTGAGCAAGCAGTCCCCCCTCCCGTGCTTCCCATCGCTGCTGTTCACGGAGGTCACTTAGTCATTCTGAGTACTTCAAGGTTATGATTCAGAAAGTGCTGGTAAACCTCGAATTATGAGCAACAGTTGAGAATCACTTGATTCCAGTAACATAGGCAGTTATGCTGGTGTACAAGCGAGGCTGGTGTTGCCTTGTTCTCCATTAACGAGCTTGGTGCTTAACACGAAGATGACCCTCAGTAAATACATAGGGAATCAGTCATGTTGGAGTGACTCTAGAGTGTCAGCTACCGTGACAACCGGGAGATTTATCTGAAAATTATCTCCCCTCTCCCTGGTCCCCACCAGGACATTGCTGGCTGAAGGAAATGCGTTCTGTTTTTTGTAAGCATTGCATTTTACTTCCCACCCAACAGGTCAAGTGGAAACAAGTGGAATCTTGCACCAAGTCAGATCTCAGAAATGCCCGACTCTCCACCATATTCTTATATTCTACGCAATTATGTAAGTAAATCCGTTTCCCGGGAATGACTTTTTTATCTACAGGCATAATCTCTTCCCATCGCCAAGACCTGTGGTATAGATCACTGTCTGTAATGTGAACCGTGTATTTTATTTGCAAATTTCTTTGTCCTGCTGACTTGTTGCCATATACTTAGGTAAAGTTTTCTAATGACTGTACCAAACCTGGCAGGGGACTGAGCTCCTACTGGATACTATTAATTGGGAAATTGATCTGTGAATTATGAAGTACGCTTGCCCTTGTCACTTATTTTTCCAGCTGTCCCATGTCCTCTGGACAGAGGCCAAAAGAATTTTAAAATGTCATCCCGTTTACTGAAAATATAGGCGCTAAGTGTTTCCACATCCAGTCTGCAATCAGTTGCTCGACTCAGAATAGCCTGGCCCAGTTTGACACTGTTCTTCATCAAGGAGGATGTGCTCAGACCTCCAGCTAAAATAAGGATTCCAGAGAACAAGGCTGGACGCTGTGCAGGGTGCCCCAGCCGTGGGGACAGTCCCAGGAGGGAGGTGAAGCGCTGGCCTTGAACAACCCTATCAGAATGGCCATCGTTTACTAATCGAGGCTGGTGCTGTACAGTTTAAGGCTGTGCAGTTTTCTGAAAGGCATCAGACAATTTTAAAAATGTCTTTGGCAAGTATCTGTAGCCAACTTATTGTGGAAGATGCCTGGCTGGGAATGCAGTGTTGGCCTTGAGCTTTCTGTTTCATGCTCGGCTTCTGGCTATTAACCTGTTGAAGATTTCCCTGTCACCCTTTGCAGTGTCTGCGCGTTAATCATCTCGACCTTCTACATGAGATACAGAATTAACACTCTGGAGGAGCGCCTGGGGTCACTCACCTCCTTTGTGGACAGCCCTAATACTGAGTAAGACACTGGCCTCTCTGTTCTCATCTGCTTGCTATTCAGACTCACAGAGTCGCTGGCCTGAGCTTACATGCTTCTTAGCAAACTGTAACTGAGGAAGAATTTTGTATGAAACATTTTGTTAAGCGTATCTGTAGAGTCAAGAGATAGGAGGCTGCTGGAAACAGATGACCTATCCACATGAGTTGCTACAGTATCGCCAGTGGCCTGCCAGGAAGCAAGCTTAGTTTTACATTATCCTCTGGCCATGACCTTGGCCCTTTTTTTCCAACTATACAGCTTTGTCTTAGTAAAATGGCAGTGAGCCAAGCACTTCAAGCAGCACATTTGATCGTGTAGAACTCTTTGTATTGATTTGTTACAACATTCTTGAGCACTGTAAAAATCCATGGTGGGACTAGCAATTAGGTGGACGTGTCTGAGATTTAAAAAAATGAGGAAGAGATGTACGTATGTATGTATGGGGAAGGCAGACTGGCAGCTCTTCCATCTCCTGGCTCACTCCCCAAATGCCGCATCAGCCGGGCTGGGCCAGGCCGGACGCCATTCAGGTCTCCCTCACGGGTGTCCTGCTGCCTTCCCAGGCACAGAGCAGGGAGCTGGGTCAGAAGCAGAGCAGCCAGGACTCAGACAGCACTCCCCTACGGGACACCAGCTCCTCATCTTTTTTTGGGCAGGGGGGCATGCGTGGCTTAAATATGTTCAGACCTAAAGCTCTCCTTTAAACTTTTTCACATGAATATTTTGACACATTGCCTAAAAAGTAGTAAATTCCTGCATGTTAGAAAGCACACTTTGGCTGGCACTGCAGCTCACTAGGCTAATCCTCTGCCTCAGGCGCCGGCACCCCAGGTTCTAGTCCCGGTTGCTCCTCTTCCAGTCCAGCTCTCTGCTGTGGCCCAGGAGGGCAGTGTAGGATGGCCCAAGTGCTCGGGCCCTGCACCCCATGGGAGACCAGGAGGAAGCACCTGGCACCTGGCTTCGGATCGGCACAGCACCAGCCGTAGCAGCCATTTTGGGGGTGAACCAATGGAAGGAAGACCTTTCTCTTTCTCTAACTCTGTCAAAAAAAAAAAAAGGAAAAAAGAAAGCACACTTTTAGCCTGTGTTAAATGTAGAAGTGGGGGTGAGCATTTGGCATGGCACCTAACATGCTCCCATCCCCTACTCGAGTACTGGGTTCAAGTCCCAGCTCCGCTCCCCATTCCAGCTTCGGGCACATGTGCACTCTCGCAGGCAGGAGGTGGTGGTTAAAGTAGTTGAGTCTCCACCAGCCACCTGAGACCTGGCTTCTGCCTCGCCCAGTCCTGTTAGATCCATGTGGAGAAGAAACCGGCAGATGGAACTGGGTTCTCTCTCCGTCTCTGCTCCTCCAATAAGTATTTTTTAAATAATTACCGTTTTCATATAACTCATGTGTGTCCCTAAGTCATGTGTGCATGACTTCCTGTGCTCATGCCTGACATAACGTGAGTGCGTTGTCCCTATGTGCTGTGTTGCACGTGTGGACAAACTATTCACATATGACCAAGGCAGTTACGTATGTGTGCCAAGCTGCTAAGAAGGAACTGCAACCAGTTCTCCTGTAAATGGCTCCTCTCACAAAAAAAAATAAAATAAAATAAAATAAAATAAAATAAAATACTTGGGTGATTGGGACCAGCAGGAATCCCTGCACTGGTGCTGGGTGCTGATGGAGAGATCGGCAGGGGGTCAGAAACCACGTGCTTGAGTAAGATCCCCGCGTTTCGCTGGGAAGCTGAGGCCCAGGGCAGCCTGTTCCGCACAAGTAGCTGCAGGGGCTTCCGGCCAAGCGTGCAGGGCCTGGGTCCTCTCCGCGTCCCGCCTGTGCTGTGGGTGACGGCAGGGCCTCGCCGATGTGAACCCAGGCGTCACTCGCCCTGTTCTGCTAGAATCTCGTTTCTGTTCAGATACGTGGGGAGGTGTTCGTCCTCCTTCCGTCTTGGCTGCGGTCATTTTTTCGCGTTGTTCTTACAGGCAGACAGCACCCTCCGGCCTGGGCTCGCAAGTCCAGTTAAATGTGGAAGTCCTCTGCCAAGAGCTTTCAGCTAACATAGTGAAACTAGAGAAGGTGAGTGACGTCTCTCCCGGCCCTGGTGGCCAGCGGGGCTGTGTCCACCAGGTTCCATACCCAGACTGCACGCTCTGTGTGCAGAACAGATGGGGAAGACTATTTGCTGTCTCCATTTCATCAGCCTTGGAACTCACAGTTGGGCTGGCCTTTTGATAATCTTCCTTATTTATTTGTACAGTAGGCCAGTCAGTGAGCACTTACACCAAGACTCAGTGTAGAGACACAGTAGGCAATCAACTGGAAACACTGGCCAGGCCACACCCAACAGAATGCACCCCCAACTCAACCCAGACTGACTGTCATGATCCATCTGGTACCGTGCTCCATCGCAGGTGCAACCCTGGGAGGGAGGCAGCCTTGTCCTTCTAGGATAGTGGAAGGATCTGCTTCAGATTGGCTTGTTCAAGGTGACGCCAGGCACACGGGCAGAGCTGGAGCGTGCACCAGGCCTGTCTCAGGGCCTGGCTGTGCGTGCCGACCTCTACTTGAGAGCGTCTCCCAATTCAGCAAGGCCACGACGTACCCCGGCCTCGGCAGTGTCTCCCTGCAGCAGGGCAGTGCTGGAGCAGAGCTGTCCGCAGCTTGTGCGCTGCTGCAAGTCAGCAGGAGGGGGGCGAGAGAGGCCCTGGAGTTCATCCGAGTCAGGGGGTCTTCCTGTCTTCTCCCCTCAGCACTGCCGTCCCCTCCCCGCTGATCGCTGCTATGTTTTCTAAGCTGGTCTTCTAGGGGAGATTCAGAGTCAAGAATCAAGTGTTGTGTTAGACCCCCTACTGCAAGGCCTGGTATTTGGTAGCTTTCTGTAGTGTCACAGTTGCACTGAACTTGGAACAAGAATGAGGTGCAGATGAGAGTCCCCGATTCCCTCCTCTGGGTCGTATCTAGCATTTCAAGCTGTCAGAGCAAAGGTGTCTCACAACCACTGTTCTATACCAGGTGAGAGCAGATATTCCTACTAATCCCTGTGTCCCCCGGAAAACTGGGCAGTTTTTCTCTCTTGAATCCAGATCAGCCTGGAGGAGGGATGGTGCACCACCAGCACTTTTTCCCTTCTGAAACACTCAGTGCTCCTGAGGAGCCGGGTTCAAGTCCCAGGTCTGCTCCCGAGTCTGGCTGCCCCGCTAACGCACTCCCTGGGAAGCGGCAGTGATGGCTCCCGTAGTTGGGCCCTTGTCACCCACTTGGCAGAGCTCGATTTGAGTTTCCTGCTCGCAGACATTTGGAGAGCGAAGGTGGCAGACGAGAGCTCCCTGGCACTTGTCGCCCTCTGCCTTGCAGGTGTCTCCAAGAAATTGTAAATGGTGCATTCCGAGGGTTTTTCTTTTCTGTAAAGAAACACTTACCCGTGTTTGGCTTCCATCCTGACCTGCACAGGGGAGCGGTGTTTTCACTTGGTGTTCACTCTGTGAACTCTATAAATCCTAGTCTGCATTAGCAGCAGGTGCACGCCTGTGTTGCTTCCCACTCTCCTGCCAGGCCCCGCCAGACTGGCGCACTCTGCAGTAAGGGAGCAGATAACAGGAAGACGTGTGCACAGCAGGCCAGCAACCAGCCTGTAGTGGGCAGGGCAGGGGCCGGTTTCGAGGCCAGGGAGGGCCACCGTGGAACCAACGGAGACCTCCTGTAGCCCCAGAATCAGTGAAACTGGATTTGGGGTCAAAATGCACATGCTGACATGCTAAGAGGTTCTTAAGTTTCACGCCTCCCTCAGAGCAATCACAGAATCTATTTGGTTAGCCTTCCCCCAGAGGTCATCGGGCAAGAACACAGGGCCGCTGGGCGGGGTGGAGACGTCTGGCATGTGGCCTGGCTCTCTCTATCCAGTACCAGCAGTTCCCCTCCACTGGAGAGAAGTGGAAACGCCAGATCACCCCTGCCTGGGCCACGTGATCAGTGTCTGTTTCTGTTCACTGCCCTCTCTGATGGTGTAGATCGAGGTCCTGTGTTGGTTCTTTTTGTATTTTCCTGATGACTACTGCGGTTGCTCATCTCAGATATTCATGGCCATTTGGGCTTTGTGAGTTGCCTACCTCACTCCTTTTAGTTTGTTTGTTTTTTGTTTGTCTTTGCAGGTATGTTTCGTGCACTTTGCATTTTGGTTATCAGTCTTGTTTCTTTTCCTTTTCTATCCTTCCACATTCCTGTTTTTCCACTTATCCTTGGACCCCGAGGGATAGGTGAGGAAGCCATGGACGAGGAGGAGCATGGGGGGAGACAGTGATGCCTTTGATGGGTCACAAACTACACCGTGATTCTCCCAGCACTGGAAGTGGCATCAGTGGTGTGTGGTCTTCCAGAAGTTCATGGGAAAGAACCGCATGGATTTCAGAAACTGCCTTGCACCATAACAAAATCAGGTCATCTGTCTGTTCCATTTTTTCCCATGGACTCCTCAATTCCCTCACGTAGTAGAGAGAGCCTGGTTTCAGAGTCAGTTCTTTGTTCTCGCTGCTCTGCCACATGCTGCCTGGTAACTGGTCATGTTAGTCCAGCTCTCTGGCCCTCGGTCTCACGCATGCAGGTGGCCTTTGCTGGTGCTGTGTGGCCGGGGTGAGCCTGTGTCAAGGCACTGGCGCATGCATATTCCAGCCCCTGCCCTGAACCCCAGGGGAACAGACTGTCCTCTAAGAGCCCAGTGTTTACATTCTGTTTCTCTGCTTCCATCACAGTACTGCTGCCTGAGGATTCTTTGCTCCAAGTTCATTTACTGAAAATATTTACTAAGAATACTTGCAGTGCCCAACCCCAGACTGTCATCCAGTCTGTCCCTACCTCTGTGCAATCTCCATCTTGGACCCAGCATCATGGCCCACTGCCTGCAGGGCCGGCATCCCATATGGGCACTAGTTCAAGTCCCACCTGCTCCAGTTCCAGTCCAGCTCCCTGCTAATGGCCTGGGAAAGCAGCAGAAAATGGTCCAAGTGCTTGGGCCTGTGCACCTGTGTGGGAGACCCAGAAAAAGCTCCTGGCTCCCAGCTTTGACCCAGCCCAGGCCCGGCCACTGTGGCCAGCTGGGGAATAAAACAACAGGTGGAAAATGTCTTTCTGTATCTCTTCCTTACTCTCTGTAACTGATTTTCCAAGAAACAAAGCTTTACCGAGAAAGGACATCAGGAATTCACCATCTTCCAGGCATGGGGTGTAATGGCTAGCAGGAATACTCAAGTTTCCCATTGTCTCTCACATAAAACGCACTTGGGTTACACCTGGGGTTGCCAGTTGTTCTTCCATCATTGCTCTGGGCCTCTCCTGTCATTTGTCATCTTGGTGTGACCTTTTTTAGTTCCACCTCACTCCCATCTCTCACTCTCGTAGACTGTCACCGTTCCAGGTCCTGAAAAAGCACGTATTTGCCTCACTGACGTGTTAAGCGCTCTGTAGCTTTGTATTCCAGGTAGAGCAGTCTGGAGCAAAAGCCAAAGCCCTGTGGTCTCCCCTGTATGTGACAGTAAAGCGCTGCTCTTTCCTGACTTCAGATACAGAACAACTTGCAGAAGCTGCTTGAGAACGGTGACTGAGCGGGCAGGTTGCCTGGGCCCACGTCATACCTCACGTTTCCCCCTGCGCAAGGTGCTCCCCAGCGTCCGGCGGATGCTCCCTGCTGGTCAGAGGCGCGAGCAGATGAGAACCCAGACTCGTTTGCACCCGGAGGGCTCCAGCTCAGGAAAGGGGGAGGGGGAACATTTTGGTTCTTGTGCAATAAACGTCGAGCTCGACCCCGGGAGGAAGTCTCCGCTGCTGCTGCCCGGAGCACACAGATCCCCCTCGGGGGGTCTCCGGCAGCTCCTGGGGTCCCTTCCGGACGGGTTGCAGTTCAGCAGTGAGCAGGATGGCGTCAGCAAACACTCCACTCCCCGGCCACCCTCCGCCTCTCTCCCGTACCCTCTCTGCCACCAGCCTTCACACCGCACCAGCGAACTCACTGTGATCCTTTGAATTAGCCGTGAGTCTCCAAAAAGGCAGTCAACGGCGCCAAGTGGACAGAGTGGCTTCACGAAGTCACATCTGCTTTTGTCTTTTCTTTCTGCTGTTTTCCTGTTGTTTAATTCACCTGTGTATCGTCATGTCTCACTTCAGTTTTGGCAAGAATGCCAGGCAAAGTAGACACAACTACCCTCTGTATGTTTTGTAACTGATACTTAATTACAGCGATTCTCACCGCACCTCGAGACAGCAGTCTATGAGGCACTGGACTAAAGTACTAAATGCAACTCACTACGAAACCAAAACTAATCTGTAAACCAAAAGAGGTAATAGTGATTTAATACAGAATGACAGACACTGAATTTTTTATATTATAAATGGACTGCGGTAAGCAGTTTGGAAACAAGATGTTGGTATTTAAAGCTGAAACTTACCCATTTCAGTTTAACAATAGTTACGTTTTCTTGCTTTGCTGGCGAAAATTAAGAAATAACTGGTGGTTTGCTAACTTTACGATACAGATTGGCTGGTTTTTGTTAATTATTTAGGGTACCATGAGATCTGTAAGTGCAAAAGATATCCTGTTCCTATCAGTAATGCATTTTTATAATCATTTCTATGAAATGTCTTTTGTTTAATCAGATAAGCTAATAAGTGAGTTGGTTCCATCATTTGTATTTGGTAGCCTACTGGAGCAACTGTGCCTGGTGCACCAATGGCTTTTAATAAATACTCATTGGTTAAAACCTCCTGCCAACACTGTGTTGTGTCGCTTTGTAAACTCTCAGAGGCCAGCATTGTGGCGAGCAGGTTAAGCTGCCACTTGTAATGACAACAGCGTCCCATTTGCGTGCCGGTTTGAGTCCCATCTGCTCTGCTTGCAACCCAGCTCCCTGCTCATGCACCTGGGAAATCAACAGAAGACGGCTCAGGCGCTCAGGCCCCTGTACCACCAGGCAGACGCAGGTGGCGTTCCTGGCTCCTGACTCGGGCGTGGCCCACCTGTGGCCATTATGACCATTTGGGAAGTGAACCAGTGGATGAAGATCACCCTCTATGTTACTGTGCCTTCAAAATAAATTTAAAAAATAAACTTCAAATATTAAATTCTCTCAACTAAGACTTAATCACGCATTTCAACTCTTCTACCACCTTCTCTAGCTCTCCTACCCCGTGTGCACTTCATACCTACTCCTTCCACGTATTCATTTCACCACTCAGAAGTGATTTAAGTTACACTGGGTTACAGTGATAGCCAAGAAAATTACCTTTGAAATCACAAAAACAATGCTTGACTGCTGGATGCAACTTCCTTGAGTTCTGTGACTGTCGAGATCATCAGCCATTTCCCCCACTTGACTGATGAGGCTGAAAGCAGAGTTCTGGAGGCCGGAGTCGCTCAGTGGGTTACACCACCACCTCTGATGCTGGCATCCCGTGAGGGCCAGTCCAAGTCCCAGCTGCTCCACTTTTCATGCAACTACCTGCTCATGTGCCCGTGGAAAGTAGCAGAAGACAACCCAAGTGTTTGGGCCCCTGCCACCCATGTGGGAGACTTGGATGGACTTAGAGGCTGCTGGTCCAGCGGTGGCCATCGTGGCCATCCCTCAGATTATCTGTTTGCCTCTTTCAGTAACTGCCTTTCCAGTAAACAGAGGAGGATGAGGAAGAGAAGAAATGATGATTACTTTTTTTTTTTTTTTTTGACAGAGTGGACAGTGAGAGAGCCCTCAATGGCCCTGGCCCCTGCGGCCGGCGCACCGCGCTGATCCGATGGCAGGAGCCAGGTGCTTCTCCTGGTCTCCCATGGGGTGCAGGGCCCAAGTACTCGGGCCATCCTCGACCGCACTCCCGGGCCATAGCAGAGAGCTGGCCTGAAAGAGGGGCAACCAGGACCAGAACCCGGTGTGCCGGCGCCACTAGGCAGAGGATTAGCCTGTTCAGCCACGGTGCCGGCCAAAATGATGATTACTTTTCTAAAAACATGGTCTCATCAGGCAAGTCATATAAAAGTACTATGTTCACTGTTTTAAACATTATTTTCACACCTGACATTTCAGTTCAGTGTCAAGGCTCTATGTGTACTGAGATCCCAGATTCCTGAGTGTGTCTGCCTGCCACCTCTGTAGAACTTTACAACTGGATGCAAAGTCTACAAGGCTCAGATTTCACTGTTAATAATCTGCCATCTAGGAGTTTATCCTAAAGCAATTGGATGCAAAGTTTCACATACTAGAATGTTCTTTGAAGCCTTCTGCCAATGGTCAACAGCAGCAACAGTTCAATTATGTAGTTGTATTAATAGTTGTGAAAGAAAGGCATAGAAATCACATTAATAAGACAGCAGAAACTGGATGATTATCAAGAAAATCCTACATTTATGTCTGTATAAATACACAATGTCTTCTGTATTCTAGTTTTGTATAATGAACAGTCATCGCCTTGTTTTTTAAATCAAGTTAATTATTAACTAAAACGGTTGGGTGGCTCAGCAGGGAATTGGATCCCACAGCAGCCTCCCCATCCTCCGCCTGTCAGTTCTGCTGGACCTTCACCCTCAGCTGCCATGGCTGTTCACCTGCCGGAAGGGAGAGGGTGGTCCATCAGCTCCAGGTGTAGTTACAGTGCTGGCTTCGCGGATGCCACGGTTGGCTGCTTTGGTTTTCATTACTAGTTCCCAAGTCAAAATGCTAAGCAGGTGATCAAGCCCAGCCCTGTGCTTGCTTATTAACTACAAATCACGAGAAACCAAGCATCTAGCACCTACGTACGGTGCAGGGGCCCAAGGACTTGGGCCATCTGCTTTCCCAGGCCACAGCACAGAGCTGGTTTGGAAGTAGAGCGGCCTGGTCTTGAACCGGCACCCATAAGGGATGCCAGCACTGCAGGCCAGGGCATTAACCTGCTGTGCCACAGCGCAAGCTCCAGTTCTTTTTCTATATATATTTTTGTATTCTGCTTTTTAAATCTGTAATTAAGTGTGAATGATTTTAATGATTAGGAAATTAACAGTCTTCTATAACTTCCACATGGTTAGATTATTGTTGACCTCTCGAACTCTGAATATTTAGAATACCTTCCTACATACACTGCAATACTCTAAAGCATTTTACACATTTATAATATTAACAGATTCATGTCAAAAAATTGTAAAAGTAGTCACTGAGTGAAGCATCTGTGACCACTGAGATACAGCACTACTTTGTGTCCCGATTCTGTGTCCTGATTCTCAGCCCTGTTCTAGTTTAAAAAGAACCAAAGACCTGTTTACTTCCTGTTCTCCTACCTGCTTCTAAACACTCTCCCTTTTTCTGTTTGCTTGCCCACACACAGGTCCACAGTTTGTGGTAGTGAGAAGTGGGAGGAAAATTTAACCCTTGCCTCCCACAAGGAAGGCCACTACTGCAGTAGGTTTTGATGAACCACACGCTCCATTCTCCTTAGGTCTTCTAGAATTCCTCCAAGGCAACAGCTGATCCCACACAGGCTCTGCGATCCAGGACATGAAGACGCAGTGCCTGGCTTCTGGCCTGGCCCAGCCCACGTTGTAGCAGACATTGGGGAGTTGAACCAGCAGATGAAGTCCTCTCTCTCTCTCCCCTCCCCTATGCCTCATCACGCTGCTTCTCAAAGCAATCCAATTCCTCTAGAAAGGTTCACTTTGGCTGCTTTTTCTGGAAATGACCTTGATTATATGAAGCCTCCAACACAAGGATGCCAGCGCGTCCTAGAAGTCAGAAGCTCACGTCCATCTGTTCTGCCACCACTGCGCCTACTTCTAAGCACGTTACAGGCAGCAGCGTGTTTCTTCCCGTCTCCAAAAGGCTGGTTATGCACTGACAGTGTTGCTTGTTGGGTTTCCAGTTGCCCCCAGGCCACACAGGCATAGTTCTAGCCTTGCATTTTTGTTTTCATCTCCCTGCCCTGGGTGACAGAATGGCCCATCACCTCTAGACCTGGCTTGTCCACATTCTTGGATCCTGGCCACACAATGATTCTTTGTTCCTTCTCCATTCAAGGATTTCAAAGCATGACCTCTGTCTCTTCCTCTCTACCCCTGAGTGCCCCAGTAGAAAGGAACAGAAACATTCCCAAGACCTAGACCTGGGCACTGCTGGCTCTGTGGGGACAGCTCTGCTGTGGGAGTGCAGTGCAAGGCTGTGGGACTCCGATGGAGGTGGAACTATGAGCTGCTGAACACAGTGTCTGCAGTCTGTCCAGCCAGCACTCACAGCAGCACTCGGAAATGCAACTCTGATGTGTAATTTACTTACAGTGAACTACACATGTTTCAAGTGTACAATTTGTTAAGTTTAAACTTAAGTGTGTACTTGTGAAATCATTTCCACAATCAAGATAATAAGCTTATCTATCATTTTGCAAGAAATACTTTTGCAGTCCCTGTCTTGTGCCCCACCTACATTCCCCCATGTCAAGCAAATGCTGACCTAATTTCTCTCTGCAGATTATAGCTTTTGCTAAAATTTTGTATAATTTGAACTACACAATACGTACTCTTTTTTTTCCCCTGAGTTTTTTCACTTAGCATCATTATTTTAAGACTTTTCTAAGGATTTTATTTGAAAGGCACTGTTATAGAGGGAGAGAGAGACAGAGATCTTTGATCCGCTGGTTCACTCCTGAAATGGCTTCAATGGCGGGGCTGGGGCTGGCCCTGGCCAAAACTAGGAGCCTGAAACTCCGTCAGGGTTCTCCCACGTGGGTGGCAGGAGCCCAACACTTGGGCCATCTTCCACTGCTTTCCCAGGCACCTTAGCAAAGAGAGAGACTGAAATGGAGCAGCCGGGACTCAAATCAATACCCCTGTGGAATGCTATCTTCACAGTGCTGCACCCCAACACCTGTCACAGTTATTTTTTGCATTCTTCAATTGTTCACGCCTTTTTATTGCTCAATAATATTTATACAAACACACTCCAAATTGTTTAGCCATTTGCCTGTGGAGGGCCATCTGAATTTTTCCTAGTTTGTTTATTGCAAATAAAGCTACAACCATTCTGATCCAGGTCTTTGTAGTATGGATATGCACTTTCATTTCTCTTAAATAAACATCTAGGAACAGAAAATGGCTGGATCATATGGCAGGCGGAGGTTCAACTTTTTAAGTAACTACCCAATGTCTTCTTCCAAGATATGCCATTTGCATTGCCATCATCTGTGTAACAAATGTTCATTGTACCACATCCTCATCAGCAGATGATGAGTAATCTTTCAAATTTTAGATTTTGGGGCCAAACGCCCTGCCTGAAGCGCTGGCATCCCATATGGGTGCCGGTTCTAGTCCTGGCTGCTCTACTTCCGGTCCAGCTCTCTGCTGTGGCCTAGGATCGCAGTGGAGGATGGCCCAAGTCCTTGGGCCCCTGCACCCACGTGGGAGACCCAGAGGAAGCTCCTGGCTTCGGATCAACACAGCTCCGGCCGTTACAGCCATCTGGGGAGTGAACCAGCAGATGGAAGACCTTTCTCTCTCTGCCTCTACCTCTCTCTGTAACTCTTTCAAATGAGTAAAATAAATCATTAAAAAATTTTAGATTTTATAATATAGCTGTGTTGAAATCCAAGATGACTAAGTACAGAGAGCCTGTACTCACCTCAGTCATGGAGAACATTCCAGAACAAAGGAAGGACGATGTTTCCAAAGGACTGGGGGAAATTTCCAGTTAAGAAGTAGAACAGCACAGAGACTCTGAGACAGCCGAGCGGGAATATAGAAACGTCACCACCAGCAGCCACCAC